ATTTTATGGCTTTTATTTTATCTATAAGGCTTACCACTTAAATACTAAGTATTATACTTGTTTATTATGTTGACTGCCCTTCCTCTCACTAAAATATAAGTTCCCTAAGGGCAGAAATGTATTTTATTCATTGCTATAGCCTTAGCACTTGGAACAGTGCCTGGCTCAATGTACATTTATTGAATGAATGATTGGTCATATTCAGAAGAGCAGTTTGGCTGCTGCATGGAGACTGCATTATAGGGTAGCAAGAGTGTAAGCCAGAAGTTCAGTCACATGAGTATTGAAATTGTCTGGTTGTGTGGGAGGAGTAGCTGAAATACTACACAGGGGATGGAAAAAATATAAAAAGGGAAAATAAACAAACTTGTCCTAGGAAGAGTGGGCAATACTGCCCAAGCCCCATACCCACTCCAATACTTTGCAGGCTCTCAGCCTCTACTATGGCCGTCCCAGCCATAAATACTGAAAGACCTGTGCTTTCCCAGACCCCACAGTCCTGAGGACTCCTGTTCATGACCTGACAAGTACCAAAAGAATATAAAAATCCTATTCTTTAACTAGGCGTTTTTTAAAATTTATTTTATTTTATTGATTTTTTACAGAGAGGAAGGGAGAGGGATAGAGAGTTAGAAACATCGATGAGAGAGAAACATCGATCAGCTGCCTCCTGCACATTCCCTAATGGGTATGTGCCCACAACCAAGGTACATGCCCTTGACCGGAATCGAACCTGGGACCCTTCAGTCCGCAGGCCCACGCTCTATCCACTGAGCCAAACCGGTTAGGGCTAACTAGGCATTTTTAATACAAGAAGGGAGTATGGGCCACTTGAAAGTCTTGTTTAGGAAAAAGGAAAGGAAGGAAGGTATATATTGTGTAACATAAAATAATGGTAATATTAATTGTTAACAATCATTAAACCTTATCATGGCCAAGCATAGTGCTATGTGCAAAACAGAGTTTTTATTTAATAAAATAGCAAAATAGCAAGAAATGCTTCCCAGTCTTGGAAGAGTTAGTTTTTTTACCCTTAGTACTCAAGTTCCAAGCCCACAATATTTCACTGATTCTTTGTAAAGCCACCCTAACAGTTTTGTTTTCCAGATAGTCATGTAATCAGAAAAATAAAGTTTCCTCCCTTCTCAGTTGTCTAATTTTATTAGTCATACTTTTGGAACAATATTAAATAGTAGCAGTAATAATAAACACCCTTTTCTTGATTCTGTTATTGTGAATTTTTACACTGTTTTATTTTTATGCTTGACAGTGCTAAGATTTTTGGTGTTGAATCAGGATTGGATGTTGGATATTATCAAATACTTTTTTGAAGCATCTATCTGTTGATCATGTGTCCTTTATCCATGACCTAGTATGATATTAATAGATTCCTAGGAGTGAACCTTCTGGAATTCCTGGATAAATCCTTTGTGTAAATTGCATATTTCATGTAATATTTCAGGAATGCTTTAGAAGTGCTGTAATTACTGAGTCTGTCATATTTAAGAATGTGTTTTGTTTTTCTTTAATAGAGTACTGGCCAAGTTGAATTCTTGAGTCACATCAGCCAGTGTTTTAAAAATTTGTAGGTAATCAATTTTTTTTGGGGGGGGGGAGAGCAAGTCTTCAGAATAAATAAATAAATATAAGCACTTATTTATTTAATTGGTTTTTAGAGAGAGAAACATTGATGGGAGAGAAACATCGATCAGCTGCTTCCCGCCACCCGGGCATGTACCCTGACCAGGAATCGAACTGGCAACTCTTTGGTCAAGGGACAATGCCCAACCAACTGAGCCCCAATGGCCAGGGCCAGGAAAACTTTTAAATGAAGTATCTAAATTCCATAGAGATAAAATGAATCTTACTGTTAAGTTTTCTGTAACACATAATGATTTTTAAACTTTCATTAGTATTTTCTAAAATAGTATTTTGTTCTTATTTTTTGAAATGTTATATATACAGAAGAATGTGTAATATATTTTATATTTATATTTTTTACAGAGAGGAAGAGAGAGAGATAGAGTCAGAAACATCGATGAGAGAGAAACATCGATCAGCCGCCTCCTGCACATCCCCCACCGGGGATGTGCCCGCAACCCAGGTACATGCCCTTGACCGGAATCGAACCTGGGACCTTTCAGTCCGCAGGCCGACGCTCTATCCACTGAGCCAAACCGGTTTCGGCTAAAATATATATTATTTAACAAAACTGACATACTCTTCTAATATAAATACTATAACTATTAACTAATGTTTGTTCTTACACCAACACTGTGAGAGATAGGGACCATTTAACAGGTGAGAAAAAGAATATAGACATGTTAAGTAACCTGCTCAAGGTCACACAAATAACTGTGGTGGAACTCAAATTTGAGCCAGGTAGTATGGCTCCAGAGTTGTTGTCTTAGCCATTATGCCATACTGCATCTTTTTATAGTTAATAATGGTAAAGATTAATGAATAATAAAGCAGACACCTAGGCACCAGAACCTAGAGTAAGAAACAGAAAATTACTGGTATCCTTGCCATGATTTGTGTGCTCCTCATTCACACACTCTTAACCTCTCTCTGGGACATAATGACTATTCTCACTTTTGTGATAATTCTCTTCCCTTTTCTTTAAGTATTGTCATCCATAAATGAACCTATAAACAGCATATTTAGTTTTAATCTGTTTTTAAACTTTAAGTAGACTCTTGCTATATATATTTTTCTGTGACTTTAAATCATTCATTCATATTGATATGTATAGCTATAGTTTATTAATTTTAACTAGTCTTAATTCAGGCTGCTATAACAGGGTACACTATACAGGTAGCTTAAAAGTCAGATAACTATTTCTCACTGTTCCAGAGGCTGTAATTCTGAGATCAGAATGACAGTGTGGTTGGGTTGTTGGTAAGGGCCCTCATCCTGGTTTAGAAACAACTCCTTCCTGCTGTGTCCTCACATGCTAGAGAGTGGAGAGACAGGAAACAAGCTCTTTCATCTCTCCTTATAAGGACACTACTCCCATCACCCCTCTGCCCTCATGACCTTTGACCTCCCCCAAATCCCACCTAATACCATTGGGAATTTAGCTTCAACATAGGAATTTTGGGGAGACACAAACATTCACTGTTGTCAATTATTCCATTGTATATATATTTGACAATTTAGTTATTTATTCTATTATTGATACTTGTGTTGCTTCCATTTTTTTTGCTGTTGTGCACTGCTACTTTTAAAATTATGAATAGTATACCTTTGTAAGTTAGATTTACCTAGGTGTGTGTACCTGATAGTGGACTTGCTAAACCATTCATTCAGATTTCCACTTCTTATGTGCCTGTTCAAGTCTTGCTGGTTTTTCTAGTGGGTTTAGTGTTCCATAGATATTGTTTTCCAAGTCTAGGTTCTAGTTCTTTGTGGGTTATTGTTATAGATATCTTTCCCCAGTATGCAGCTTTTAAAAAAACTTTATGATGTCTTTGGATGGCTGGAAGCATGTAATTATTCTTCCAATATTTGTTTTCCCTTTTGATTTTTATGCTTTTTTTCTTCTCATTGTTTACATTATTTTAAAACTTTATTTCTTAACCCTCTATGTAGCTTCCAAACTTGGTATTTTCTGTGTATCATTTATCTTTGAATGGAGGTAGTTCTATCTGGACTTTGTCTAACAGGATGAAACCCCCTTTTGCTCTTTATGTTTGCCTGTGTGGCACTTTAAATGTTCTCAAAGAATTTTAGTTGGGTAGCTGGATATGATAGTGAGGTGGGGCAAGTGGCCATCTCTAATTCATGTGTTGCCTGTTATTTTCATACTTGATTGGATAGGTCCTTTCTGTGGTTACTTGGTGGTGTGTTTTGGAGGTCGATTCCACTAGGATGTCCACTTTTTATCTTTTATGTAAGCAGGTCAGGTTGTAAGGAGGAGGTCCAGTTAATGCATAACCCTTGCTTCACAGTAAAGCCTCCTGCTCACATGCCAAACTTTGTTGCTTCAGTGTTTATCTCTGCTCTGTTGACTCTGATCAAGCTAACAGATTCGCAGATTATAGTTTCCTGTCCTCTGCCTCTCATTGCCACTAGGCCATTTTGTCTGGAATAAGAAATGGGATCAGAAAATAGAGCCTGAGTGGTCCTTCTTTCAGCTCCTTCTGAAGCAGTTCAACAGATTCTTCCTTGCCTGCCCCCACCACCAGTTCTCATCTTTAAGGAATGGGTATTTAGGAAAGTGTAGGGCCCTTTAGGACTCTCTTAACCTTTTTGAGAAAATTACAGCCTGCTTGAAATTTGTGTGTGGGGAGGGGAAGCTTTTAGATTGTGTTATCCTCCCTTAAGAGTTTGAATTTCAGATATGTTCCAGACAAATATGTTCCCAAAGGGTAGGTTATATACATTATCCTTATCAGATTATTTTTATCCTCATTTTATAACTGTCAAAACTCAGACCTAGAGAAACAAGTAGCTAGTTAAGATGGTAAGTGTTGAACCGGTTGTCTGATTCAGGGTTGACAGTCTTCATTGTGTCACTCTGTGAACTTTTTGAAGATTTAGTATTAGAATTATAGGTAGGAAGAAATGGCTGGTAAGAACAGTTGGTACAATATGGCAGGGCTTTCTGATCTTCCTCATGCAATCCCTGGTCTTCTGTATATTTTCCTTTAGTTCCATCTTCATTATTTAGCTTTGTCTAGTGGTCAGTGACTTCAATGTCTATCCCTTCTGCATAGGCTCACTCTTTTCTCTGCTTACCCTGTTTCTAGTTCTCTTATTTGTAGACTGGTTTGCTGTTTTTTCCTTTCTTTCCAATTCTCTTCCTAATTGTAGGGACATCTTTAAAAGCTCTCCAAATGTGCCATGTATTCTCAATTTTATTCTCATTCCCACTTTATACAGTTTTCAGTCTCCCAACATAGAAACCAATGTGCATTTGAATTTTTTATTTTTTACAGACTGGGAGGCAAGACTTGAATCCAAAGAGTCAACTCCAGAGCCCATCATTACTGAAGATTTATCCTTTTAGGTAATAATGGAAAAGGAAAGTCTCTGGCATTCTTCTTTAAGGGAAACCTGGGAACCTGATAATTGGTTAGAGGGCCAACAGAAAAACCAGGATAGACATCTGGGTCAAGTGGCAGTTACCCATAAGGGAAATCTCACGGAGAGGAAGGTATGTAGAGGTAATGAATTTGAAAGATGTTCCAATCAGGGTTCAATCATTGATATACAACAAAGTACTCCTATGGGAAAAAGGCCCTGTTATCAGAATTCACATGGAAAAGATAAACAAAATTCTGAATTAATTAAGATTCAAAGAATGTTTGTAGGGAAGAAAATGTATGAATGTAATGAATGCAGGAAAGCCTTCAGCCAGAGCTCATCCCTTCTTAAGCACCAGAGGATTCATACTGGGGAGAAGCCCTATAAGTGTAATGTATGTGGGAAGCACTTCACTGAACGTTCCTCTCTTACTGTACATCAAAGAATTCATACTGGAGAGAAACCCTACAAATGTAATGAATGTGGCAAAACCTTCAGTCAAAGCATGAACCTTACTGTTCATCAAAGAACTCATACTGGAGAAAAACCCTATCAGTGTAAAGAGTGTGGAAAAGCTTTCCGAAAGAATTCATCCCTTATTCAACATGAAAGGATTCATACTGGTGAGAAACCCTACAAATGTAATGAATGTGGGAAAGCTTTTACCCAAAGTATGAATCTCACAGTGCATCAAAGAACTCATACAGGAGAAAAACCCTATGAATGTAATGAATGTGGGAAGTCTTTCAGTCAAAGTATGCACCTTATTGTACATCAGAGAAGTCATACAGGAGAGAAACCCTATGAGTGTAGTGAATGTGGAAAAGCCTTCAGTAAGAGCTCAACTCTTACCCTGCATCAACGAAATCACACTGGAGAAAAACCCTACAAATGTAACAAATGTGGGAAATCCTTTAGCCAAAGTACATACCTTATAGAACATCAGAGACTTCATTCTGGAGTAAAACCTTTTGAATGTAATCAGTGTGGAAAAGCTTTCAGTAAGAATTCATCTCTCACTCAGCATCGGAGGATTCATACTGGAGAGAAGCCTTATGAATGTATCATTTGTGGAAAGCATTTTACTGGACGATCATCGCTTACTGTACATCGGGTTATTCACACTGGAGAGAAACCTTATGAATGCAATGAATGTGGAAAGGCCTTCAGCCAGAGTGCATACCTTATTGAGCATCAAAGAATTCATACTGGTGAGAAACCCTATGAATGTGATCAGTGTGGTAAAGCCTTCATTAAGAATTCATCCCTTGTAGTGCACCAGAGAACTCATACAGGAGAGAAACCCTATCGGTGTAGTGAATGTGGGAAAGCCTTTAGTCGGAGTACAAACCTTACACGGCATCAGAGAACTCATACATGAGGAAAGTTTTCACTGGGCTCGTTATGATGAACTCTTCAGTGATAATCAGATATATCATGTCATGTAGAAACCAATAAATGTAATGATTTTAGGAATCTTTTAGTTGAAGTATATTATACCATATCCGATGATACAGACCACTGCAGAGGAACCATATAAAAGTGGAAAATCTTGATTGAATTAGAAAGTAAAACTTTGCATCCGAAGGCTTAAGTAGCTGATATTCTAAACAATGAGGATTCATGCTGAAGATAAGTTCTGTTGTGTCATACTGCAGATTCTCCTTTGGATGTCAGAGATTTCACATCAGAGAGAATATGTGAGAGTGCTTAACTGGACAGCCCAAAGACCTGGTATGTACTCTGATCTGTCACTAACTTGGACAAGTCACCAACTTTCACCAGGTCACAGTACCCTTATTTGATAAATGAGGGATTTTGGATTTAGAAGATCTCCAGGATCCCTTTTAGCTCTATAAAGCAACAAACCTGTAAATATAATGAATGTTGGGACATCCTTAATCTTTTACCACATTATGTATGTTATTAGATGCTACTATTTTGCAGTCTGGTTTCTCTGGATGATGTGAGTTAAAATTCTCTATCTCTACCAAATCCTATTATTCTCCCACGCCTACCCCCTTCTCCTTGCATTATTTTCTCCTCTAAACATAGGCTGGTTGCAAACAGGTGATGGAATAATTGTACAAATCTTAATGCAATGGTATGCTGTTTTGAGTCCTCAATTAACAGTCATTAAATTGTTGTTAAATAAGCTAATTACTTAGAAAATAATATAACTTATAGTCTTTTCCTAGGACTCAAATACATATCTTTGTATCATACTGACAATCAAGTGAAAAGGAAGCTAGGCTGAACACTAATAGAAATAAAAATCTCACATTAACAAAATCTTTGTAATTCAAACATATGCAAAACAATCATGGAGATTTTATAGACCTATAGTAAAGACAATTTTATTTCACACACATTTAATACGTGCTATAAACATGTGTTAGGCATGATTAGAAAATCAAAATAAATATGATACATTCTTGTTTTCCAAGGTTTAAACTGAGAAAGTGACAGTGAGATGGGAGAGGAAGAATTCAGGCAAAAATGAGACAGAATCTATATCAGTGGTTCTCAATCTTGGCTGCACATTAGAATCACCTGGGAATCTTTTTAAAATCCTGATTTCTGGGCCACATCCTCCAGAAATTCTGTTTCTTTTTTATGGGGTGGGGCCACAACATTAGTAACAAAGAAACAGAATTTCCGAGGGTGAGGCCCAGAAATCAGGATTTTAAAAAGATTCCCAGGTGATTCTAATGTGCAGCCAAGGTTGAGAACCACTGATCTAGATAATGTGGTAACTGATTAAATGTGAGTGCTTGAATTTATTTGGATGTATAGGGATGCCATAACTAAAAATATAAAGTTGACCAATTTGTGGGGCAATGATGAGTTCAGTCTGGGGGCATTTTGATGAGTATGTGGATATCCAAGTGAAGATTCATAATAGACTATACACTAAGTAGTAGGGCATTGATTAGAGGGTTCTCTGGGAATATAATAGTTCCCCAAGCCCCAATTCATGGTTTTGCTTTTCACAGTTTGTTACCCACAGTCAACCTTGGATCCAAAAATATTAAATGGAAAATTCCAAAAGAACCCCCACAATTCATGTTTTAAATTGTGCACCATTCTGAGTAACATGCTGAATTTCCATGCTACCTCACTTCTTTGTGATCTCATCACATAGCCACTGTATCATGTCACGTCATCACAAGAAGGTTGAGTACAGTACAATGAGATATTTTGAGAGACCACATTCATGTAACTTATTACAGTATCTTGTTAAAATTGTTCTCAATAGTTACTGTTAATCTTTTACTGTACCTAATTTGTAAATTAAACTTTATCTTAAGTATGTATTTATGGGAAAAACATAGTGTGTGTGTGTATCTATATATCTATCTATTTATCTATCTATCTATCTGTCTATCTATATATGTATATATAGTTCAGTACAACTTATTGTTTTAGGCATCCACTGGAGGTCTTGGAACATACCTTGGAAACAACAGTTAAGAGAAACACAAAAAACAGAAAAATCAGGAGAACATTGTGGAACAGAAGTAAAAGGAGAACTTTAATGTAGGGATAGAAATCCTATCTAATAAAGAGGGAATATGCTAATTGACCCTCATGCCATCGCAAAGATGGCGGCGCCCACAGCGAATAAGGATGGAATATGCTAATTGACTGCTCTGCCCTCAAAGATGGTGGCACCCACAGCCAATAAGGAGGGAATATGCTAATTGACTACCCCACCCTCAAAGATAGCGGTGCCCACAGCCAATAAGGAGGGCATATGCTAATTTCCACACCCTCAAAGATGGCGACGCCCACAGCCAATAAGGAGAGAATATGCTAATTGACTGCCATGCCCTCAAAGATGGTGGCACCCACAGCCACAAAATGGAGGCCCCCAGTCCCCTCAGCCCCACTGGGGTGCCTGCCTCCAGAGTCCCCCAGTCCCCTCAGCCCCCAAGGGCCAGCCTGAGGTGCAGGCAAGCCTCTAATGGCGACTGCCCAGCCGCCCAGGGCTGGCCCGAGGCACAGGCAAGCCTTGGATGGTGGCTTCCCAGCCGCCCAGGGCCACCCGAGGCTCAGGTAACCAGGGCCAGCTGAGGCTTGTGCTGCTGGCAGTGGCAGCAGCAGAGGTGTGATGGGGGCGTCACCTTCCCCTGATCGCCGGGTCGCCTCCCACCCCTAAGGGCTCCCGGACTGTGAGAGGGAGCAGGCCGGGCTGAGGAACTCCCCCTCCAGTGCATGAGTTTTTATGCACTGGGCCTCTAGTAGTTAATATTTTCAAATGCTACAGAGGGTTAAAGTAAGATAAAAATATAAATATTGCCCTTAGTTTGGTTGATAATCTATGTAAATTTTAGTAGGTTAAAGAGTGAGTTAAAGGTTGAAAAGGACTTAGTAGCTTGACTAGAAAAGGAGTTTAGAAAGATAACTAGAGGGAGATTGGGGTTGAAAGAACCTCTATCAGAAGAGCTTTTGGCTACATCAATAGAAAGCCCAGTTAACAATGGCTTACGAGCAAGTAGGGATTTATTTCCTCATATAATAAATCTGGAGGTGGGTGGGATTGTTCAGAGACAAAATAATTCAATCCCTTGAGTTTCATGGCTTTTCCATCATGGTCACATGGCTGCCACACTTCAGGTAAAATATCTGCATTCAATGCAAGAAGAAATGGATTGTGTAGCACTAGCAACATCACTACCTTTTATCAGAAAAGGTTTTCCCAGACACCCTTCAGCAGACTACTGCTTACATCTCCTTGACTGCAGCTGTGTTACATGGAGACTAGTAGCAAAGGAGACTGAGAAAATAAGCATTTGCTCTTGGAGCCTCTATAGTAGGTAGACAAAGAAAAGGTGGTTTGATAAAGGTGTTGACTTAGCCCACAATCTGCTGAAAATGTGTTTGTATGACTTAAGGTAGAAGAATTGAGCATGTTTATCTCCTAAAAGAGCTGTGGAGTCCAGCCGGTGTGGCTCAGTGGTTGAGCATCGACCTATGAACTAGAAGGTCAGGGTTTAATTCCCAATCGTGGCACATGCCTGAGTTGCAGGCTCAATCCCCAGTAGGGGGTGTGCAGGAGGCAGCTGATCAATGATTCTCCGTCATCATTGATGTCTTTATCTTTCTCTTCCTCTCCCTTCTCTGAAATTAATTTCATATTTTTAAAAATAATAAAAGAGGTGTGGAGACTCTAAAGGTGCATAAAGGAGGGGATGTGCATCTCAAAGTGGGAAAATAAGATTTGGAGCACAGGTAAAGGATGCAGGAGTCTTTTTCACTGGGAAGGACACTTTCCACTGGAAGAGGCGGTAATCAGTGATGGGTGCAGATGTTTGTGGGTGACAATGGAAGAGGTTCCCTGTGGATTCTCAGTGTTTGGACTTTGGGCAGTTTTAATTCATGGAGTTCGAACATCAAAGACAAAGGAGGAATGGAACACTAAACTGTATCTTCAGAAACTGAGATTTTAAATTTTTCTTCATTTCACCCAGTTTCCTCCTTTCCCTTCACCTATTTTTCTTATACCTCATTCCATCTCAAGAATACAAGTAGATGGGAGGAAAGGCAGTGAAGAAATGGGTAGAAAATAGAAGAAAGTGATTAAGACAGCAGCACATTAAAGGCTCAAAAGGAAGGCACAGGATAAGGGGAAGAAGAAGAATGAAGTTATTGAAGCCTAAGATGGATGCAGTAACTCAAAGTCAATAAAATATTAACCCATGGAGGGAGCACCAGAACACATGACCCAGATAAATGGAGGTTTCACTACTTTTTCAGGAGTTTTGGAAGTCTTAGACCCTGTATGTCAGTTCTTAGCCATCTTGGGCAACAAGTAATGAGGACTTTGTACCTTTCCTCTACCAACAGGTGCAGGACTCCTGGTTCCATGCATTAGACATGACACCTTGGGCAAGGCACTTAATCTTGGTGCCTCCCTTTTCTCATTTGTTAATAGTGCAAACCTCACAGCTTTACTAGTAGGTTGCATTAGGTAATTAATGTAAAGTGCTTATAAAAGTGTCCAGCCTGTAGTTAGTACCAAACAAATGTTATCACCCTCATGTACCTGAAAACAATAATATCCAAACTCCATAGCATGGCGTCCAGAAACCTTAATTATCTTAGAATGACTATGCTCTCAAAACATACCTTGTAAAAAGGTTTATAAAACTGGGAGTCAGTTCCGCCCCAGCCTGCTGGAATAGCTTACTAACTGGTTTCCCTGTATTCCTTCTAGCCCCACCATAGCGTGTTCTCCACACAACTGACCAGTGATTCTGTCCAAGTATGCTCAGCCATGTCACTATTTTGCTCAAACACCTGTAATGGTTTCCCATCACACACAGATTAAGTCCTGCAATCGTCTTCAAGGATTCTAGTTACCCTTTGAACTCATCTCCCCCTCTCCCTTGTTCACCAGGCTCTCTCCAGTCATACTGGACTTCTAAGCCTCAAACTCACCAGGTACCCTTCTCTGGACAGCATGCCTGTTCCCTCCGACTTAGAGGGTTTCCCCCCAGAGAGTCACATGATTTCCTCCCCCACTGTATTCCAGTGTCTGCTCAATATTTTCTGAGAACTTCTTAAAACGCTACTTAAAATAATCCCGAACCTCTGTCACACTCTGAAACTTAACCCAGCTCCACTGTCATCAGTATCTGATATTTTGTTTATTGACTTCCTCCCCGAATAGAATTACACCTGAATAAGTGCAGGGTTTTCAGCCCCTAGAACAATGCCTCACACATAAGTGCTCCAAGTAGGTATCTATAGAAACCTTCAATAAAACCCCAAACAATGCTGTACTGTCACATGAAAGTCACTGATACTGCTCCCTAAGAGGGAGCCAACGGATTAGTTCCCTGACAAACCTCAGGTCACATACTTGAATTTTTCACCACCTACAAAACTGAAACCCTCTCATCTTCCTGAAAATCCAGATAAATCGCCAAGAGCCAACTCTTCCACCTGCTCTATGCTTCCCAGGCACCGTGCCCGACGCCACCGCCCAGGTCCCGAACCTCCGCGGCAGCCTCCTCACTCATCTGCCATCCTTCGGCCCTCGTCCTCCCGCCTCCGCATCCCATTTCTCGCCGAACCACTCCAGGCCCGACAGCCGGCCACACTGTCAGTGTCGGTTGCGTCCCGGCCGATGCACAGTCTCGGTCTTTGGTCTGGCGCGCGCCTTTCGGCTACTCCGTCCTCCGGGACCGTTCCTGAGCCGCACTCCTCAGCGGACCTGGCGCCGCTCCACCAGACTTACCTGCCTTATCCCAACTTCTCGCTAGTCTCTAGCTTGGGCGTGTTTCAAGGCAGAGACCGAGTCCCAATCTGACCAGAGCGGAATCAAAGCCGCAACTCCCAGTGAGCACGCGGGGAGTTATCTGCAAGCTGGACCGGCGACGCCCCGCCGAGGCCTCTGGGAAATGTAGTTTCAGTGTAGAAAGCCTCGGGACCTGGCACAGGGGGGACGGTGAGCGGGCGGAGGTGAGGTAGGAAGTAGGGGGCTGTCTGCTTGGGAAAGCAATATTTTCTTCCGCGCGCCGCGGTGGATTTGCCAGATGGGAAGTGGC